ATGACCAAGGAAGCCGCACAACAGCTGCAGAGAGGCCTCTAGAGTAGCCACGAAAAGTGCCGCGCTACATTCTTTGGACAACATATGGACTGATGCTGGAAGCAATCTGGTAAGGAATTTGACTTCGCCCCCGCATACGCGAGGCGAGGTCTCTGGTCCAATGGACACACTGCCTGAGGAACAGCTCAAGCAGGGCATGCTGGCCTCTGGTATCGCCCATCAAGGCTCCGATTCACATCTACGGAGGCAAATCGATCAGCGTTTCGCGGATGAATCACCCTTTACCCAGCGTAAAGAAAGCAACAAACTGTTTGTATCGTCTTGGACTCGTCTGCTCGGCGTAGCATTCACCTCGTTGGCAGCAGCGTATTTTTTGCTGCTTTGTTTTCGCTTTATAGAGTCTGCGCGTCAGTGGTCCCCGCCCACTAGATTTCTCGCAGATCGTCGAGGTGAATCATGCTATTCAGGCAGTGTGTCTGGGGATGGCGATGAAGGCGGCAGTTGGCCGACGGGGGATTCGGCAGGTTTAGTGCTGGAGGGTTTTGGGGAAGGCAGCCCTTTGCTACATCATGAGGCTTCGGGATTACAAGGCGCTGCCGGAGGAACACAAGTTCAAGTAGTTGCTGCTGGATTACAAGGCGCTGCTGGAGGCGCAGAAGCAGAAGTAGATTTAGAGGCAGAGGCTGACGAGGAGGTTTGGGGATACGTTAGTGGCGCTGCTTCTAACCCACAAAGACCATTCAGGGCACATAATGTGCACTTATGGGAAGGCCGGAACCTGCCTGTGGAAGAAGAAGAGCGCTTACTACGTCTCTTTGAGGGCATGAAAGAGGCTGCGAGTTCATGCCGATCGTTGTTTCCAGTGTTGACGCACAAGCAGCGTTTGCAGCTGACAACCCAAGTGCTGAAGTTGCTCGCCCTGGATTTGGGAGCCATTTGCCTAGTTAAGGAGGATAAAGAGCCTCATAGAAGGGCCGTGGGCGACTCTCTCATTCAGTTGGCAAATGACGCACTTGAACAAGCGAATGAGTGCCCAAGCTATAGAAAGCTCCGCGATAGGATTAAAAATTTGGTATCTTTGATTAATGAATTGAAGACACCGAGGTATCTACCAAGGGAAAAGCGCGCTGACAAATACAAAAGGAAGATGATAGCAATACTGGCAACTGCCGAAGTGGCGCTGAAGAACTGTATGGGAGTTTTGAATGGGCTGCTGCAGCTTAGGCAAGATACATTGGCAGGCCAGCTCCGAGAGCAAACAGTACAGCAGCAGATAGATGTTATAAAATCTATTTTCAGAGCCCACGCTGATCATTTGGCTAGAGACGGTAGCCTTCGTCAACACATATTGCATTGTCAAAAGCGTACAGGCGTGTATGCGCTCCTCACTGCCGATCATTTCAAAGTGTCCTCAGACAAAATCGCTCCAGTGAAAGAGCTTATGAACCAGATACTCGAGGCTGTAAGAGCTGCTGGCGGTCTTCTGCAAGCTCAACAGCTAGCAACGCATGAGCTCGACAGTGCTAGCGGGGAATTGGAGAGGCGGATTGGTCACGACGAGAGGCTGATGGAACAACGGGGCCCAAAGCCGCCGGAAAAGGATTTGGTGGAAACGGTGCAGTCTTCGCCTTACGCAACAGCTGCTGCGGCGCGTACAGGAGTGGTGAAAACCCGTCCGCCCCTAGCCGGATTTTCACTGTGGCAACCTGACCGGCCGCCTCGACTAGGTGCTGGACCGGTTCGGCAGCAACTGCACACACATAGTTCCTCCTGGAGACCTCAGGATCAATTGCCACAGCTTCTCCCTGCCCAAGTGTTTTTTCCAGTGCCTCTTCTCTTGATTGTGCCGCCGCAAGCACCTACGAGGGGAGTTCCATTCACCCATCCATCTTTCCCTCCACCGCAGATGTTCTTTGCACGACCGCCTCAACCGTCAGATGTGCAGCAGACTGCACGTCCACCTCATAGCGTCTCACCTCAGCAGGCATATGCTGGTCGCAGCGCTGCAGCGCCTTTTGTTCCCCCTTCTCCGCTGCCGCGTGTGGATGTGAGTGAACCGTCTCAGCGGCTGCAGCCGCCAGCGCCTCTTCAGGAAGAAGGCTACAGTCTCTTTGGAGGTGGCGGCATACCCCCCTGGTTGCCTTTTTCACAGGCTTCACCTGCCTCTACAGAGAGACGCCCCACTGCAAGTGACGCAAGGACGCATTGTAAAGAGGAAGAGGACGCCCGAAGTCGCATGACGGATGGTCAGGACGAAGCAAGAGATAGCTTCCCGAGTGGTCGTACTTGGAGCGGCTGGGATTAGGCCTAGCAGTCCGGGAGCTGCCATTCGAATAGTTCGATTACACACGTTTGCCCCAGTCATGCCTAGCAAAAGTAACCATCTGAACATGACGTACTGTGCACCTTTCCTGCAGTCTGCAAGTGGCCTATCACCGTAAGGTGTTCGAAAAGGCAGTCTCAGCAGGAACGGACTATTAATTGTGGAAGATGCCAAGAGGGCGGAGCAGACAACATTTTTGCGTCGTGTAGGCGTTTCCAAAGCATAGCGGAACAGCACCAACGATGTAATACCGCGGCAAGAACACTACAAATGCAAGCGTTAATGCGGCACGTTAATGCGGCATTCCTCAGCTACATAGATCGGAAGTGCAGCACTGCCTCACATCAGTGTGGTAGTGAAGGGCGGCGTCGCCCTGGAATCAATCGTCAAAAGAAATACCTTGCGTACGCTGTGGCTTGATGATGATAGATTTTGGCAGAGGCACTCACAACGCTGAATAGACCTTCATTGCCTGAAGGAGGTAGTGGACCTCTGGTAATTGGTGAGAGTAGGTCTTGTCTGCAAGCGTGGAAAAATTCGAAAGCAGATCGCCATGCTGAGAGGCAGCTCCAACACTTTGCATTCTTCTTGCACCAACCAAAATGAAGCATGAAAAGGATCAATGGAAGAGCAGCCGTGCGTAACAACTCTCTAATAAGCAGTGCAGAAGTGCAGCCCGAGCTCCGAGTATCTTCGAGTGTGCAGCGAGACACAGTTGAAAGCGATTAACAGCGCCCCTAGCCAGCGCAAGATGTGTGAATTCATTTGGCTAGGTTGTTGAGTGGATTTGAGGCTAAGAAGGGACGAGGCATCAACTGTGTTGGGTCATGCGAGGAACTACTGCACACTCAACTAGGCCCATCGATCCCCTGGGGACACACGGCACTTCCTGGGATATAGCCTGCAGCTGGCTTCTCCGAGTACAATGAATAAATGGTTGGATGGACACAATTTAGCAAGAGTGCTCTGTGCTTTTGGGCCGATGGGCTCGATGCTTCGTTGGATGCCTTTTTCCTCCAGTTTTCTTTAGTACCCATTCCTGGCGTGGGGAAACAGTCACCGCGAGAGCTTAACAAGGTATTGACTACAGGCCTTCTTGCTTCCTTTTATTAAGAAAACCAAGTAACATATCGGATACTGTGATCTGGACATAAGCACTGCAGGCTGCCGCTCCATTCAGTTGTCATGAAGAATGTTGCTCACTGCACACTGCACAGTGATGGAGTGATTCCAAGATCTGCCGCAAGGGGCTTTGAAGTTCAACAGTGGGACAGCTACGAGATTCTCTATCGAGCTGCGTAGCTACAGATCCGGCAAAATACGTTTCATGATGATTATGGCTCTGCGCCGTTCCCGACCGGAGTTTCTTTGGCAAGCTGCTGCTAAAGAGAGTTATGGAGCCCCGAAAGTTGAGTTGAACGCAGAGAGTCGTGAAATTTTATGTTAGCATTACCCTAAGCATAATTCTTGAAAAATGGATTTGTTTTCAACATCGCATTGTGGGATTTTTTGCTGGGCACCCACCATCGCAATCTCCTTCCTAACGGGAATCATGAAACCACTAAACTTGACTTGAATCACACTATCACTTTGGTTTCAGCCATCAGGAAGTAACATTCTGCTTTGCTGTAGCTGGTTGACGAGAAAGCGCATGCAAAACCAATGCTGCCATATTTGGCCATGCCACCGTTTCGATGACCAAGGAAGCCGCACAACAGCTGCAGAGAGGCCTCTAGAGTAGCCACGAAAAGTGCCACGCTACATTCTTTGGACAACATATGGACTGATGCTGGAACCAATCTGGTAAGGATTTTGACTTCGCCCCCGCATACGCGAGGCGAGGTGTCTGGTCCAATGGACACACTGCCCGAGGAACAGCTCAAGCAGGGCATGCTGGCCTCTAGCATCACCCATCAAGGCTCCGATTCACATCTACGGATGCAAATCGATCAGCACTTCGCGGATGAATCACCCTTTATCCAGCGTAAAGAAAGCAACAAACTGTTTGTATCGTCTTGGACTCGTCTGCTCGGCGTAGCATTCACCTCGTTGGCAGCAGCGTATTTTTTGCTGCTTTGTTTTCGCTTTGTAGAGTCTGCGCGTCAGTGGTCCCCGCCCACTAGATTTCTCGCAGATCGCCGAGTTGAATCATGCTATTCAGGCAGTGTGTCTGGGGATGGCGATGAAGGCGGCAGTTGGCCGACGGGGGATTCGGCAGGTTTAGTGCTGGAGGGTTTTGGGGAAGGCAGCCCTTTGCTACATCATGAGGCTTCGGGATTACAAGGCGCTGCCGGAGGAACACAAGAAGAAGTAGTTGCTGCTGGATTACAAGGCGCTGCTGGAGGCGCAGAAGCAGAAGTAGATTTAGAGGCAGAGGCTGACGAGGAGATTTGGGAATTCGCTGGTGGCGTTGCTTCTAACCCACAAATACAAGATGACTTGCACTTATGGGAAGGCCGGAACATGCCTGTGGAAGAAGAAGAACGCTTACTACGTCTCTTTGAGGGCATGCAAGAGGCTGCGAGTTCATGCAGATCGTTGCTGCCAATGCTGACAAACAAGCAGCGTTTGGAGTTGACAAAGCAGGTGCTTAAGCTGATCTCCCTGGATTTGGGAGCCATTTGCCTAGTTAAGGAGGATAAGGAGCCTCATAGAAGGGCCGTGGGCGACTCTCTCATTCAGTTGGCAAATGACGCACTTGAACAAGTGAAGTCTGCAAGCTATAAAAAGCACCGCGTCAAGATTAAAAATTTGGTATCTTTGATTAATGAATTGAAGAAACCGAGGCATCTCGAAAGGGAAAAGAGCGCTGACAAATACAAGAGGAAGATGATAGCAATACTGGCAACTGCCGAAGTGGCACAAGAGAACTGTATGGGAGTTTTGAACGGGCTGCTGCAGCTTAGGCAAGATACATTGGCAGGCCAGCTCCGACGACGAACAGTAGAGCAGCAGATAGAGGTTATAGCATCGATTTTCACAGCCCACTCTGATCATTTGGCTAGAGACACTACCCTTCGTCAACACATATTGCATTGTCAAAAGCATACAGGCGTGTATGCGCTCCTAACTACCGATCATTTCAAGGTGTCCTCGAACAAAATCGCTCCAGTGAAAGTGCTTAGGAATCGGATACTCGAGGCTGTAAGAGATGCTGGCGGTCTTCTGCAAGCTCAACAGCTAGCAACGCATGAGCTCGACAGTGCTAGCGGGGAATTGGAGAAGCGGATTGGTCACGACGAGACCGAGATGGAGCAACCGGGCCCAAAGCCGCCGGAAAAGGATTTGGTGGAAACGGTGCAGTCTTCGCCTTACGCAACAGCTGCTGCGGCGCGTACAGGAGTGGTGAAAACCCGTCCGCCCCTAGCCGGATTTTCACTGTGGCAACCTGACCGGCCGCCTCGACAAGGTGCTGGACCGGTTCGGCAGCAACTGCACACACATAGTTCCCCCTGGAGTCCTCAGGATCGATCGCCGCAGCTTGTCCGTCCCCAAGTGTTTCCCGCAGGGTCTTCTTGGTTGATTGTGCCGCCGCAAGCACCTACGAGGGGAGTTTCATTCACCCATCCATCTTTCCCTCCACCGCAGATGTTCTTTGCACGACCGCCTCAACCGTCAGATGTGCAGCAGACTGCGCATCCACCTCATAGCGTCTCATCGCAGCAGGCATATGCTGGTCGCAGCGCTGCAGCGCCTTTTGTTCCCCCTTCTCCGCTGCCGCGTGTGGATGTGAGTGAACCGTCTCAGCGGCCGCAGCCGCCAGCGCCTTTTCAAGGTGGGGGTTACAGTCTTTTCGGAGGTGGCGGCATACCCCCCTGGTTGCCTTTTTCACAGGCTTCACCTGCCTCTACAGAGAGACGCCCCACTGCAAGT